TGTCTCAATTGTTCAAGTACAGTACTTACTGCAGGGCCAGTCTCATGTGTGGTGAGCCATACATGATCTGCAAGCACGTCCTTAGGAAAAACGAATTATGGAATATGTCAATAAAATGGGAACATCATGTCTCAATTCTTCAAGTACAGTACTTACTGCAGGACCAGACTCTTGCGTGGCAAAGAGCCTTCCATCTGCAAGTCCCACCTTAAAAAAACGAATTATGGAATATGTCAATAAAATGGAACATCATGTCTCAATTGTTCAAGTACAGTACTTACTGCAGGGCCAGTATCTTGTCTTGGAAAGAGGCATGTATCTGCAAGCCCACCCTTCGGAAAAACTAATCAAAAATATAATGTGTCATTAAAATGCGAAACATCATGGCCGATGGGAGGTTTCTTGAACTACTTGGTAACCTTTGTCTGATAAGGTTAACAAATGAGCTCGTTAGAAACACTTGTTTGCTTACAAAACTTTATGAACAAACTGAAAATACTTTTCAATTTACAAGAACTTTAGAAGCAACCTTAAATCGAATTATTTCACAGTCAAAATTAGAAACCCCTGCATAAGTCAGTGGCCCTCAATCGTTTTATCGTTTAAGCGAAACCTTGYATGGTTTGAAAGCAACTAAAGGACCTATTTCAGCGTAGATCTGTTTTGGTAAGTTCACCAAAACAAAACCATAGGGCAAGATTTTCAAGTACAGAATCTTTATTGCTATGGACGATAGAACGAATTGGAGAATGCTGCCAACTCACTTGAACGGGATTTCACATCCACTTTGMRWTCTTTGCATTATATTATCGAACACTAACGTCAACGCGAAAATATATGTAGTATCACTACAACCGAAAAATCTTACAGCTTTCTGCTCACCATAATTTTCTAGTCGACCAGTCTTTAATTCATAAAAAGAAACCAATTCAAGTTGATTATAAATCCTTGAGTGCTTACAGTATGGTCCCTSAATTCAGTGCGTGTGATGGCGTGACGCAATCGTASCCTAAAAAGCTAAAAAGCCAGAGCGCCTCTGCTAAAAAGCAGTACCGCTGCTTTATTTGACAGCATATTCTCTTGCGCAACAGACTTGCCGTAAGTGACTAAAGACGAAACTGACACTATTAGTAAACCTTTGTACTGATCAGTGTTATATTACCGCCAATATTTTTTTCATGATTAAAGTTTACGATATTGTATATATGTATTTTATCGCTTACCTTACTAATCTTGACAAATAAGGTTCAGTTATACCATGAATAGATAGCATTACCTAGATAAAATTGTGAGACAGAGAAAAATATTGAAAATTCTGCGATATGAAAGTATGAAATACACTCTATAGTAGTTCTATAAGGAGTACTGACCACCTCTACCCAATCCATCCCCATCATGCCAAAAGCCTCTTTTCCTAACCATCCTTCATTGATCGATCCGCACCTTGCCGTTGTTGTGTTCTAAAGATAGTAACAAAACTTTCCAAAGTCACTCCTTCCATTACATCAGTCGTAGTTGATCTTCCCTGCAGCTGTTGATTACCTTAAAAAAATATTTGAAATATTTTTGAAAGTAAATCAAAAATCTTCAAAATGATTTACCGTTAATGCTTTGGCGAAATTTGACTTTAGAGTCCATTACGTGCTTCAGTGAATGATCACCATGATTTCTATATCCGCTGTTTTCCGACTTTGCTTCAGTCATCGGAAAGTTCTTGAAGCCAAAGGTCACTCTTACTGATCCAGTTCAAGATTGTTGATCAGAATTGATATACTCACAAATTCTGAGGCCTAGGAATAGAAACACATTTGATATGTCAACACAAATTAAAAAAGTTGTTCAAAGTTGGTTCTTAACACTGTTTATATCAGCTTCATTATTGACTTTTTTGCGGTACTTTTTCTCAAGTTTTTATGAACATCGGCGTCGTTCCTGAATTATTTGTATGCGTTATCATCATAAAGTTCCTAAATAATTCAACTGTTTTTGATTTTTAGA